CACTCAACATCAACATCACATGATTCACATGATTCGTCGCTCTTTGGGTGGAGGCTCTGATGAACCTTCCTCACCCGGGTGGCGTCCACCATGTCCAGCTATGCCTTAAAGAGCAGGGCCGTTTCGTTGAGACGCTGCTTTTCGTTGGGTTTTCCCCTCAGCACTGAGGTCTTTTTGGTGGGCCTTTCGGTGGCATTCGGGTGAGGACCGTGTGTTGGGTAGGTGAGGACCGTTTGTTCGGGCCAACTGGCCGAAGGTTTTGGCGGGAGATCAGTGGATTGAAATTCAAGACCGAATTTGGACTGTGGAAGAGGCTGACTATATGGGGCCATATCGTGCTGACTGGACCATTGGGGCGCTGAGAAGCGGAGATGCTCTCATGTTAGTTTTTGCTCTGGAATGTCTCTGCTTGGCCAGGAGAATTTGGAATACCAGGTTTGCAGGAGAGGGAAGGAGGAATTGGAACTTCATGTCCATCTACCCTGGATTTCAATCCACCATTGATTTACTGTAACAGCCTTGAAACCGAAGAACCATTGTTTGACCAAGGACTTTTACACAAAACCAAACCAGCTAAGCATAGCTCAACCATTTTCAATAACGGTCTTTGTGTTTTCAATCATGCAGATGCGCACTGCTCCAACGTACTGAACCACTGAAGGCTGGGGGGGGGCCTTCGCACAGCTCGGGCCGGCGACGGGTCACCGGTCGACCGGTGACGAGTGGAGCGTGGACCCTCCAAACATGAGACTCCGATCAAAAAGGAACATGTCGACGGTCGACCAGTCTACCTAGCCAGGGCCAAGGGGGGTCACCTCTTTTTGAACCCAAAGGAATGAACCCAGACTTGAGCCGCTCATGAAGCGATCCCATGGTCAGCAAAAGCAAAGCAACACACCCCAGAAAGCAGCAAGATGCTGGTGGAGCCAGATCTCAGGCTTCTACGTTTTTGAGGATTTGGTCACCTCCTGGAAGATTTGGCACCTCGCAGGCCGTTCTGCGGTGTTTCGGTGTTTCCGTGCAGTGTGCAACCCGTGTTGAAGAGAATGAAGAAGATCCCTATCCTACACTCCTAAAGGATCTTAAAGGTATATACTGTACACAAATGTGTACATCTTAATCCAACAGCCTCCTAGACAAGCACCATCTTCAAACTCTGTGGCTGCGAGTGGCCATAGAAGTCTTGGGGAGGTTTGGTATTGACTTGCATTAAAGTTCCATACAGGAAGGGATCACGTGTCTTCAGTGGGCCCTTTCAATCCTCGTTTCCTTAGTGGCAGCTGGGAACTGAAATCATGCTGTCCACGATGAAGAGCATGCTTAGATCACATGGGTGACATAGGCCGTGCCTCATGTCCAATCTTTTTGGGTTTTGTATTGGTCCTCATGATTTAACATAGTGCTCTATGGCTTGGAGATACCCACGCAGTGCAGCCTGCTTCCGACGCTCCGTGTGGCGGATGATCGGAATTCTGTTGCGCAAATGCCGTGTCAAACGAATGGGACCTCTGAATGACTAGGAGTCAAAGGGTGGAATATCAACCTTGGTCAATAACCCGCCTTCAAACAGATTCAGAACGATGATCAAACAGATCCATTATCAGAGGGTTATTCATCAGTGAACATTTTTAATGATCAACCCATGTGCTTTGACCTGAGATACGCAGGAATCGCCGCCATTGGCCACATTGTGCACTTCCTGATGCTGAGCCATTTCGCCAGCGTCTCGTCCAGCGTCTTCAGGCTTAGCCGTTCCGCTCATTCTCTTCCCAAGACTTTCAAGCACTGGAGATCCAGATGACGGGAGATCTATTGGGGACTCGTGGCAAGCAAAACAACTTGCACCCTCACGAGTGTTTCCTCCATGAAGGGAACAGTCCTGTTTAGCTGGTTTGGGGGGCTGGGATTTGGACACCCTTGAAAGAACAGATTTAAATGTAGACTCTTTACGTGAAGAACCCCCGCAAGCCTTTCAGAGGATGTCCAATTCCAAACGGGGCGGGGGCTTGGTTTTTCTCAACCGGTCTGTCTACGTTTTTGGCCATGTTCGATGGAGTGGAGCTCGAAACTCAACTTCTGAGTCATTGAAACGCTACGTTCGACGCTACGAACGGAGCTTCCGGTGCTTGACTGGTGTCCATGCGGTCGTTGTTGACTTTAGGACATCTCTTCCACCCACAGCTGTTTTCGGAATCATTACTCCAGTTGGAGTGGCATGGACTCGGGGCTTCCGCAACAGGTTCTTTGCAAAAGACCACGAGCGACGGAAGTTAGGGGTGATGTAGCGGCTTAGCCAGTGTTCTACTCTCTTCGAACGGAACAATACCATCATGATCCACTTTCGACGGTAGCTTGACAGCACCTCACTTGTCTCAAGAGCACTTTCAGCTCATCCCAGAATATTCGCACAAAACAACACACGCTCTTTCGACGTCCCCATTTCGGATGAAACCGATCTCCTCGTCACGTCTGAGCGGCGGAACGAGGCTTTCTGCTTTTGCACATCTCCAGTGGGATGAGACCGCTGTCATGAGGCGGGTGGAAGGCGGATTTGTGGTGATCTAGGAATGTCCGACACCGACTTGGGTCTAGTAGACCTGGTAGACCTCCGAGAGGTCTTCGGAGCAACCGGGAGAGGGAGAAAAGGACACTTTTTGGGTTCTGCAGAGTGGCTCAAAGAACATGATATTTTCAATTATTTTCAGCACATGCTGGTACTGCTGATTCAGGAAGGTCAGCTACTTCTTGTGATGGGGCCTTTGGGGCCTATGGCGTAGATCCAGAGGAAACGGGAGGTGAACTTGCTTTGGTTCAGCTTTCTTCCAACAGTAGAGACATGTAGAGATCGTCCGGTTTGGTGGAACCGTTTAGCGTCCGATCAGCGGCTGTGTGGAGGCGTCAACCAAGAATTACCAGCTGCTCATTGCTCATGTCCCCGTTTGGTCGGTTGGGTGGCTGGTAGGTAGCTTGGTTGTTCATGTTCCGAAGTGCTCATTTCCGACAGTTTCGTGTTGTGCATTGTTCTGGACTCTGACCCCTCTTGCGCCCAGTAGTTTGGATTCTCCCAATAACGGCAGGGAGGTCAAGCTCGATTTCAATGGCCACAACGCTCAAATGTTGCTCAAGTCTTCACCGCGGAGGCGTTTCGACGTTTCGTGTCTGTTGAGGGCTTAACGGCGACCCCGGCCGGTTTAGCGCCACATGACATGAGCCGACATTTCGATACCTGAAACGTGTCAAAGACGTCTTCCTCCGGAGAGAGCTTGTGGCCGAATAGCGATAACCACCAAAGTCTTCCCAAAGGCGATGGAAGGAATTGACTCTGTTTTCATCTTCGAAGCCGTGTGAACTCGTTTGGTGGGAACCCCCTGTTGGTTTTGGGACGGGGGTACCCCATGAAACAAGGATGCAAGTTCGAAAACAACGCTCCCTTGGGGGCGATGTCTTTCTCGGTTCTTGCTTCCTTTCTCGTTCGATTTTGAGGCAGCATTGTCACCGATGGGTTGGTTGGTCTCAAAAGAATTGGGGTCGATGGGTCGCTTTTCCCCCTTCCAGGGGTTCGAATTGGGAGGAGTCCCTATTCAAATGTCTTCCGCTTCAGCTTTGTCAAGGCTCTCTGAGGCGTAAGTCCGCAGAGGGGAATTGGTGAGGGAGAAGCAGAGGAGCGAAACGCGCATGCGAGCTGTGCCTTTTCCGATTTTTACTGAGCGTACTCGGGGTCAGATGAATCAGCCCCAACCAGTTATAACTCCAGGGTCTGGATTTTGTAACAGTCTCGTGGTATCCTGCTGTCTCCTGCAGCCACTAGGCTTGAGTTTAACACCAGTGAGACCCACACCAAAGGCCCGGGGCTTTCTGCGCCGCCACGGTCTCCGGTTACCCCGATGAGCGGCATCCCTTATAAAAACCCCTAAAAGCTGGTCCTGATGTAAGAATTCAACTGCTCCCAGCTCAGTTCGGATCTTGGTTCAGATGATGTTCCATCCATCCAGATTGAATTACAGATGAATGACTTTTTTGTTGGATATTTCTTGAGTTACTGTAGATGAATTTTTCCATCCAGCTTCTCCATCGCCGAGCACCCGGCGTAAAACCGCGGGACTCGCGCCAACCAAAGACGCCATCGCCGACCAAAGTGTCCGCCATCGCCGTTAGTGATGCGCTGCGCCGCCCCCGCACACGTGCGCCGCGGCACGTCCGGGCACGTGTCGTCCGGGCACGTCCGGCTGTTTCTGCAGCAAAGTGAGGCACCCATCAGGTGTCCCAGGATCAGAAGATTCATGAGTTGTTTCCACACATGTCACTGACCAGCAAGGCAAGGGCCAAAATGAGTAAATAACCATATATATAATATATATGTTTGAAAATAGAAGTGGGGAAGAAAGCCTTGCCTTTTTTGACAAGTCCAGCCCTTTCTGATCCTAGACTTCCAAAAGTCTATTCCATAGACTCAGCAGTCAGCATATGGGCAGGACAAAAAGCCAGGAGCCACGGGCGGGGCGACATATGTGATTTGGTGTGGTGGCTGATACTTTTCTTCATAGCTTACCCTCAACTGGAACAACAAACATAACTTGGTGGGGATGTTATTGGCCAGATATAGGTCATATAGGAATATCTCCCGAAGGGCTACCCCCACCTCACCTTCTTCCAGTGGGAAGACTTGCAGCTTTCGAACATTATGGGTCGGGCCAGGAAGAAAGGAAGGGGCACCTTTGGCACCTTTCATGCCGAGGGAAAGTACTGGGCACTTGCTAAGGTCGGGCCCCAACCTTTAAAAGGTCACTCTCTGATTGACCCTTCCTAAGATATATTCCCAATCCAACTACTGAAGATCGTTTGATTGTTCAAAGCCACCCCCTCCCAGGAGCTATGTGTCCCAATCCAAGATACATCTGAAAACACAGCATAGATGAATCATATACTTACTAGCTAGTGCTGGCTTCTTTTCAGCCGCCGCACCGAGTCGTGCGTTGGCGGCCCGTCTGCCGTCTTGCGAGGCGTGCAGTTGGCTTTTGCTCTTGGTGGTGAGGTGCTCGGAGTGAGTCGAAGCGACCATCAAAGGCTGTTCGGTGCCTATGACCATCTCTGCAGTTCGCTGCTGCGGCCCCAAGGGGAAAAATGCATTTTGGTTCTACTAAGGACAGGCAAGATAGGGCAAGATCGCTTTCAGGGCATGCTTGGTCTTTGCTTCTGTGTTGTTCTCTTACTGTACTTTGAAGCAGTCATAGACATGATGTCACTATTCTATGAACTTAAACACACATGTACATATACATAGATGCATAATGATACCTATGCATAGCATAGATCTATGATGAGGCACTTCCGGAAGGAGATACCAGCGACCTCTCCCCTCGGGCCCATGAATTGCTCGAGATGTTTTATATTTCCCAGGCGGCCAGCAGTTATTGCTTCTCGTGCTCCTTCTGCTTCCACCTCTGCTCCTGCCGGGTGTCCGAGATCTTCGGTCCCAAGACGCATGCGACATGAAGCATCCGCACCGTTGCCCTCGTCTCTTTTGGGAAGGGTCAATCCGCACCGTTCCCCGAAGCCACAAGGGCATGGTGAAGATCCAAACCTGGCGGTGTGGTTTCAAATTCCCTTCTTCTGAGCCAGCCTGTTTGGGTTAATATGGGTTATATACTATTATCTCCAGCATTGAATCATGATTGTTTTGACTTCCTTTCTTCTTTTTCAGAGGGCAACATTGACAGGTCAACCACCCCACGGCCCGTTTCCGTCCCGCAAACGCGCCCGAAAGCCCGCGCCAAGCTCCGCCAACCTCCACGGCCCGAGGCACTGGGGCCACGGTCAGGAGCTGCACGCCGCTCGGCCACGGAGGAGACTCTGTTGGAGAACTGGGCGAGGTGAGATGTGGAGGATGAGGTCTCTCCCGCTTGATGGGAGGAAGGGGCAAGCTGCGAAGAAACGTGCACCAATAGGACAGAGCCTTTGTTCCTAAATGGGTCAATGGAGAATTCACATGAGGATCATTAGGCTCATGAGGCTGGTTGCTTTGTCAGTCCTCTGCGATCAGCTTCCTTTTGATCGGCGATCAGCGGCCCTCTCTTTTTTCTTCTCATTTTCCACGCGTGGGGATCGTTGAACCATTCTCATTTATACCCACAGATACTCCTCTTCCATGCAACAAACTCCTGTGATCGCCCACATGAGTGGCAAGAATGACGTCTTTGTCTCGCAGTCGTGGATTTGAGCGTCATGATAACAAGTTTGAAAGAAGGATTTCACAAACACAAAGATGAACATACCACGATTCATGTCCTGGCCTCGGGGCGATTCAGAACGCCCGGCCGCAGGGGGCGTGTCCGTTTTTTTTTCTTCTTCTTCTTCTTCTTCTTAGTATCTTTTTCAATCTTTCTTTTTCTTTCGGTCTTTTTCCTCCGAACCCACCATGGAATGCATATATACATATATAAGGTTATTTGTTCAGCTGCTTAGATTACGCCCAATCTCTTAAGTTTGGATGGACCACTCACATGGAGTGTTTTTCATCGGCAACTGGTGATTCACCCCACGCTCTGGCGAAACCAAAGCACACCACCCGACATTTCTCCCAGGTGTGCCGTTTTGCCTGTCCCGTAGCCTTCCATTCTAAAAATTGAAAACATAATGTTTTGTTGCTGGATTTTGTCGTCCAATATCCTTGGTAAAACATGGGTTGTTCGGTAAAACATGTAAAACCAATTAAACTTGTTAAATCAATGGTGATTGGAATTTCATGGAATTATTACGTAAATCCATGGCTTCGTTGTTGCCTTGGATTTATAGTACTTCTCCGAAGTATTACTTTGTTGTGGTTGTTGTTGTTGTTGTGGTTGTTGTTGCGGTTGTTGTGGTCGTGGTCGTGGTCGTGGTCGTGGTCGCGGTCGCGGTCGCGGTCGGGGTGGTTGTGGTTGTGGTTGTGGTTGTGGTTGTGGTTGTGGTTGTGGTTGTGGTTGTGGTTGTGGTTGT